GGGGGGGGGGGGGGACAGCATGGGGTTGTGTTTGGAATATTCCCTTCCCCCTGCTGTTTAATGGATGGATGGAAGGACTTGATGGGTTTCCCCACTGAGCTGCCCAGTTGTTGTGGGGAATATTGATCAATCATCATGAAGGATGTTAAAAATGAAAAGGAAAGGATGAGAACCCTTGGGCCACGTACAGTTGAGACTTTGAATGTGTGTCCTTGGGGACTGAGTAGAGAAACAGAATGGAAGGGTATGGAAAAAGGCCCAGTTCATTATGTAATATAAAAGGTGATGCACTAAGCAAAGTGCACACCTATCAATCACCAACTATATGATCTCCCCAGCTGCCTCTCTCTCTCCATTTTCCTCCAGCCATCCTGACTGCGTCCAAGGAGGTGGTCCGGAGCAAGAGGATGACTCAGATCCTGGAGGTGGTGCTGGCCTTTGGCAACTTCATGAACAAGGGCCAGAGAGGAAACGCTTACGGCTTCAAGGTCTCCAGTCTCAACAAGATCGCTGACACCAAGTCCAGCATAGACAGGTGGGCCAGGGGGGACCTTGGACATCAAATTAATAATTAATTTGGATAATATACATACAGATACGTTACAGACTTGTTTGTTGTTGTACATAAGAATGTCATCAATATATTAGCCAGCAGAATGAACAGCAGGGTTTTCACTACCATTGTAAGACTTGAGTGTAGCGCCTAAGCATTTTATTTATTTAGGATATTTGAATATATTTTCACATTCCAATTCCAATGTCTGAATATAATCATTGTATCAGTGGCATAAAATGGTCTTAATGTCGATAATATGGTTTACCACAATTATTTCTGGGACAATATATCGTCCAACAAACGTACAGTAGTTAGCGTGACAGGCCTAAGTGTTCCGATTTTCCATCCAAATGTCAAAATTCAAACAAATGTCCCCTAGGCAGACCAAAGCTTTTATTTAAATATTAATTTTACATCATCTTCTTATGTTTGTATCATCCAAAGCATGATGGGAACAGTCGTGTCAAAACAGAGAAAATGGATCCCAAATGGAAATAAAACAAGGGAGCAATAAAATCCAGGGAATTTTTTGACAGTGCCATGGCTAAAAATGTTCCATCAACGTGGTCCTTTATATGCCATATCCAGTTCCTGTGTTCTGTGTTTTATTTTTGGAAATAAAAAACCCACATATCAAAATATTAAATATCAAAATACATATAGAGAGATATAGTTAATAGAATATGCATAACTAATAATAGAGTTCAACCTGAGCAAAGCAGCCTGGATTCAAATGGTTAAAGAGAGGTGTTCAAGATGATCCTTTAATTAGCAGCTCTACAAGAAGTAGTGTTCCTAGATTGCTGTTGTTAAAAAACTTTTGTCTTCAATTGTGATTAAGGAATATCACCATGTTGCACTACCTGATCATGATCTTTGAGAAAAACTACCCTGACACCTTGAGCATCCAGCAGGACCTCAGCAGTGTACCAGAGGCTGCCAAAGTCAAGTGAGTGCACAAAATGTCACCATACCTGTATCATACCATGTATCTTTGTGCCAACAGTTATTACTAGGGTAAAGAAAATACTGTATAGTTAGTAAGTGATTTTGATTTTATTATTTGGTGTCTTTTACTTTAAAAGGTCATTAAAAATGTAAACTAGGACACAAATTGTAGCCCAGTACCCTATGCAACAGCAGTTTTTTCTCTTTCTTTAACTAGTTTGTCGGAGTTGGAAAAAGAGGTGCACAGTATCAAAAGTGGACTGAAGGCTCTAGAGGCGGTGAGTTGTATTCCTTTTGTGTCACGTTCCCTCCCATTGGTTCTTCTCCTGTCTGTAATTATGTTTTTGAGCAGGGCAGAGATGGACAGCAGGGTGAGGTGTTTAAATGCTGGTAATGTTCCACGCTGACATGGAAACGCTAAATGTCACATTTCCAGCCACACACAGTGACATGGGCTTATGTGCACACACACTTGAAGCCACATACACATATTACACTTCACAGAGATCTACTGGGTTTTTTTTAAGTTTTGGTAAGTGAGGAACTTTAAAATCATCAGATGTTCCTTCCCTTGGCTTAAAGGAACATCACTGATTACTTCCTCTGTCCCTCTCTTCCTTTTTCTATTTAAGTGTATTAAGAAAACGAGAATCTCATGACTTAACATCTCTCATCTGTTTTGGGCCCTCCAGGAGCTGCACTACCAGCAGAGCAGGACGAGGGAACGTGGGGATAAATTTGTGGCTGTGATCGGTGACTTCATCACCGTGGCTGGCTTCAGCTTCTCTGAACTTGAGGACCAGCTGAGTGAAGCCAAGGACAAGGTAGCTAAGTGCATAACCACATAGTGAACAGTGTGTGTGAGTGTGAGAGAAGATCATACTGTAAGTTCATATGTCCACATGGCCGGCTTTAATGCATCCTTTGCTAGCTGCCAAACCTTCATGTCGGACAGAAAAGGAGAGAGGAAGAGCGAGACAAAACACTGAAGGGTGAAACCATGAAACCCCAGTGCATCCCTCTTAGTCCAGTGTGATGACTTCAGCAGAACTGGGGGAAACCCAGCACTGAAAGATTAGCATGTATTCCCCCCGGTCCTCCCTTTTGTGTTTGCCTCTTTGAGTCAGTGTTTTAAATCCATCCGTCCTTCTTTGTACAACCGGGACAAATGGCCTTTTGAACCCTGCTGGCTGATGTATTGATGTAGGAAGTATGCAAGCTGAAGACATCAGTGGGACTGAGGGAATCCCAAAGTAAGACAGCGTTGAAAAGATTTATGTGAACATTCGGTGCTCTGTTGCACATTTAGCATCCTGATGCTGACACATTGGAAGCTTACATTAGCGCAGTTATTACATCCTACTTTATTATGAAGCTTGTCTTTTTCCAATATAACACAATGATGCTAAATGCTCAACAGGATCAACAGATTGTGAGAGAGACAGGGAGAAAGAAAGGAGGAAGGGGCCCGTGGGTTTCATTTAGAGCCTCCCCTCTACTTAATTATTTGTTCAAGGAGGAGGTCGGTAAAAAACTGGAGGGAAAACGGGCCAGTTGGTACGTCATGGGAAAAGAGCGGGAGGAGCAGGGCACGGGTTGCTCCTGTAAAACAAAAGAACCTGTGTTCACCGGCCCAGACTCTAAACACACACTTTTCCTAACACGACTGTGTCTGAGTGTGTGTGGTTGGTAAATGGGGAGTCTGACGCATTAACTCAGTGCTTGTCAAGGCTCTCTGACGCTCCATTAGGTTTCCAGTGGAATACAAATATGGACGTGTGGGTGTGCGCTCAGTGTCTCAAGAAGGTAGAGGATGATGACTAAACATAGCAGGCGGTCCAGTGAGGCTCATAAAGCTCCATGGCAACTAATGTATGTGTAAGAGAGAGAGAAAGAGACACACACACCCTCGCCAGACACTACTACATACATTACAAAGGATTACAGTTGTCCAAGGTCATGTGGGTTATTGGGACAGAGGTTTCCAGAGGAGAGAAGGGATTTTCCTCTTATCCAGAGAGATTGGTTGGGTTTATCCTTAACAACACATCCACACATCCACACACCCACACATCGACATGTTCGCAGACAATACAAGATTCAGTCTCTATCCAAAAATAAAAAAAGTTTCAAACAGAAAAAAGCAGACCAGGGAGTGCTTCAAGATATTACATTGCCACATGTGCTGTTGGAAGGGAAAATATGAAGATTAAAGACAGAATTGAGTACAGTGGCCTAAAAACTCCAGATTCAGGCATTAATGTGAATTTGGCTAATAAAAGACCTTTAGTAGAAGGATTGGAATAATGAAAAACAGCCCTTATGTATTGATCTGTCTTCATCAGATTGATTTTCAAGTTGCACTCTCATCATTCATACACCCAAACCAGTGTCTTTGAACATTTTAGGCCATTTGCTTTAAATTATGTCTACTTCACAGTGCTGCCAAAAATTTTCCAAAGCAGACTGAACTGTTGTTTGTCTTGTGGTTTAATGCCTCTCCCACCTTACAGGCAGCCATTATAGTTTCCGTACAGCATCAGAATGAACCTGTAGGGACTTAAACCATACCTGAGTTGGCTAATCCTTCACAACACGTGCTATGCCTGCTTTTATTATTGTACAAGTTATGCTATCATTGCAGGATCAACAACAAATAATTGCAGACTGATTTAGTAGCAATTTCCTTTTGACAAAATTGATACAGACATATTAATGATGGATCACCTGTCACAAGCATGTTGATCTTTCAGCTAGATGCTAACATGTTGATGTTTACCATGTTCAGCATTTGCTAAATGAACTGAACACAAATTACAGCTGAGGCTGAGGGGAATGTCATTAGTTTTGCAGGTATTTCGTCATAAAGGAAAGTATTGGACAAATTCAAATGATGATAGCGCTATGAGAAAAATTAGGGCATTAGGACATGGTATCCGTACCGAATTTCATGGCAATCTATCCAAAAATTTTAATTATATTTCACTCTGAATCAAAAATGTCAACCTGCTAGAGGAAAGGTCTGAGGATCATAAGGTCATCAAATCATTATAATTATATGTCTGTACAAATCTTCATGGCAACCTTTCCAGTGCTTGTTAAGACTCTTCAATCTGAAGTGGTGGACCAACTGAACAACCAACTCCCCAGCCAACATTGCATCCTCACAGCCTAAACAGTTTTGCTTTGGAAAATGGTGTGTGGAAGAATAAAGTATATGTGAGTCTATAGTTGGATGTTCATTCCAATAGAGCATGTATCTCTAACCATGTGACCAACAAATGGTAATTGTGTTTCCATGCTTTGTGCAATGAATGGATCAAAGCCATGTAACAGCTGAAAATGTTGATCCTTTTATACAGGTACATTCTAACCAAAGCTCTGCAGAGACTCCACTGCAGTTTCTCTGCACATACACAGTGTTTTGTCCCTGTTTTCATTTCTAGCGCAGCACCAATTTCCAACTTATTTCCCACTTGCCCACTTTCATTGGACCTACCACCTCACAGCCACTAATCCATAATACTTAAGCCATTTCACCATCCCTCAGCTTTTTTTCTTCCTACACTAAATAAGTTGGCACAGTCTAGCTGGGAGACTGGTATGATGGAGAGGGGGAGGGGGGTCTCTTCCAGGGTGTTAGCCGCAAACTGAGGGACTATTGAAAGACAAGCTTGGCTCATTTCCTCTGTATCAGTGTTCAGACCATATTGATTCTCTGAGGATGCCCCTGTCTTCCCGTACACATTCTTCGTGCCAGATTAAAAAAAATGATGTGCTTCATGTTGTTTGTAAAAAATATGTAGCCTAGTTAATTAGGTTTCCCTTGAGTGCATTTGCATAGCAAGTTCTAACACACAGAGCAGTCAGTGGTTGAGGAGAAGGTGCCAAGCAAGACCAAATCCATGATGTGTTAACCAGAGCCAATCAGAAAGAGCCTGTAAAAAACATATTTAAATCAAAGTGCCTGACAATATTTTTAATCAGCATCCACGGTTAACAAATATGAATGCAATATTCAACACAAACAGCAGGGGCGTATTAAATACTCTATCAAGACAAAAAGATAATTAGCCTCTCGCAGAGCACAGCAGTGTTTGTGTGTCTGTGTGAGATGAGCTAAATCTGTGCAACTTCACATTCTCCAATTGTGTGTGTGTGTATGTGTGTGTTTGTAGGTGTGTGTGTGTGTTTACTCATTTAACACAGAGCCGAGGGGACGAGAGGAAACAGATTTGACCAGACACATAATTACAGGGGGGGGTGAGGGATGATGGTGGTGGTTGTCATGGTGACCAGCCCATAATGACTAGGATGATTTTGTATCCTCAGAAAAGAGCGAGCCCCAACTCCTTCATATCACAACAGCACAACCACATACAGTATAAACTAGGATGATATGTTTTCTGTCACTTTACTCCAACATACGATAAGAATAGAACAGAGTACAGTACAATAGAGACTGCTGCTCTCCAACTGGAACACTGTTTGTTTTGAGATGGAAGATGATTTTCGGCTGCAGGGTTAAAGTCATAGGCCCAGTTATTTACTTGTGAATATATATTATATGTTATCACAATCAACAACTGGAGGATTCGCTAAAATCCACTAAAAGTTCAACTGTGCCTGTATTAGGGATTATTTTTACATATGTGAAATCAAAACCAAAGTAAACTTGGACAAACAAGGAGAGAGAGAGAGAGAAAGAGAGAGACTAAGAATCTTCTTCTTCTCTCTTGCAGCTTCTTTTAGAGATACTAAGTGCAGTTGCAAGTTAAAAATCAGTATTTTAGTTTTGGCAGACTTTTGCAGCCACAAATAATGACACTGTCTTGATGTCCTGTTAAGTCGATATGGTCTTTAGCAACAACTGATTCCGACCTCTACATAGCAATAATATTGTGTTCACATTATGTTTAAGTTTACTTGCTTACCGTGTTTACTTGCTGTTTACTGCAGTACAAAGCTGTGTGTGTAGGAATGTAGAGTAGGTTTGGCTGCAGGCATCGTCCTGGCACAGAGCACTGGACAGCTTGGACCGAACAGAGTGGACATACGGTGGTCAAACTGTGCAGTCATTCTCCTGCCTTGTGTGTCTTTATGTGTGTTCCTGCCGTTTTTGAAAACATTAAGCACGCACACCGGCAGATGAATTTGAGCAAAGGCATGCATATGCAGGCTCACGTGTGCCTTTCACTACAAGAAGAAAGTGCGAAATCTGGACCATCAGAGAATACAGTATGCATTTGGTTATGGTGTATGTATATGTATTAGCTATGTCCATGTTTATCTACTAAAACCTGTAAACAGGCCAGCTTTTTAGCCACTTCCTACCAAAAAGGTAAAACTGATATACATGTTATCTATGTGCAGTTTACCAAATCTCTGAAGCACTTTGGGGAGGAAGAAGGGAGGATGCAACCCGATGAGTTCTTCGGGATATTCGACACCTTCTTGCAGTCGTTCAGCGAAGCACGGCAAGACCTGGAGAACATGCAGCGACGTAAAGACGAGGAGGAGAGGAGGGCACGAATGGAGGCCATGGTGAGATTCACATCTAGAGAGTAAACCAGCAATGTTTGGTGGAAAGAACTCCTAACCCTATGTTGCCAAAGAAAGAATACAAATACTTATTTGAGATTTAAGATTTTAAATCACGTGTTTAAAGCATGTGCTCAGGTGAGTTCTTTGTACTCCCCTCTGTTTCTGTCTTTGTCCGCTAACTTCCTGCCTCCATTTTCCAGCTCAAGGAGCAGAGGGAGCGGGAAAGGCGGGCCAAGAAGAGCGGGGCCTCAGACGAGGTCGGTGGGGAGTTTGACGACCTGGTGTCGGCGTTGCGTTCCGGTGAGGTCTTTGACAAGGACCTGAACAAATTCAAGCGTAACCGCAAGCGCTCCGTCAACCAGCTGGTGGAGGGTGGGGGCCGTGAACGAGCTGTCACCAAGGTCAACTACTAGGTTGGGAAAAGGAAGGAAAAAAATAGAGACTAGATGCCTAAATTCTGCCGTGGTGTAGATCTCTGAACACCTTTAGTCCAGGTCCTCGAACGGTGACCAATGACATTGGAGAGGATGTAAATAACGGCTGAAATGGACATGTAGCGACATGGACAGCCACGCCGTTTTGAAGGATGCAACACTCTCCTCTGATTGGTCTTGTAAAGCTATTTCCAACCCGTTTGTCCTGGACGATCTCCTGAGCTGGACGAAGAGCAGTTGGGATGGATGGATGGACGGACAGACCACTGTGACGCATTATCCCATATCTTTTGACCATATCCCTTTTAACACTGTGCTCAAGCTTCCAGCTCTCTATCACCCCGTGTTTTTCACTGCTCTTTTTCTCCTCACAACCCCTCCGCTGATCCCCACTAAGTTCCTTGGTGCTGGAGCAGCACTATCTTTTTGCTATCTGGCTCTAAAACACACAGGACATTGGGATCAGCCAGTCACACTGTACATAGACACCAGGCCAATGGAAAAGATTGGAAAAAGAAGGTGTGCAGGGGGAACTAAGCCATAATCTCTACAGTCATGGTTGCTTCAAGTTTTTCCGCGGGAAAGAAACATTTGTCAGCCACAGAACAGGTCGATGTTCATGAACTTGCCCTGCTGCAAAGAAGAGCGTGCAGTCAGCAAATCCCAGAATGCTTTATAGGCTTCTGAAAGAGAGAGGACGGATACGCAACGGAAGATTCATCCCAATGTCCTCCTCCAGCACCCAGCATTCCCTGGGAGTAGATCCCGTGCTGCGCTTTCAGACACAACTCTTCTCAAGGAAACAAACAGCTTCTCAGCTTGATCCACCTGACAAAATGTCGACTGTGCCACAAGGGTCAAGCCTCACCTACACTCTTTCAGCATTGTTCTGGCATTAATCAGTGCCAAAGCAAAGAGAAAACAATGTAAATGTATTAATACAAAACAATACTGCAATTAGGCGTTGATATATATTTATATTTAGATGCAGACAAGCTAATTGCAAAGATGTAGAGGTTTTTTTATGTTTTCATGGCATTTGGGGGTTTTGTACACGCAATGCATTATTTGTTGGTGTTGCAAGTTCACATTGCTGTTGAAGTGAATTTCTATACATTTTGCGCTATGTAAATAAGACTGCTCGTCCTTTTCTCACACTTGTATGTCTCGTTTGCACTGTAGCTTTTCTGACAAACTTTAGACTCATAGGTTTCCACTAGCCGATCTACAGTGTCCTCTCTGTACTTTAATGACCTTTATCTGTAACAAAGATAATGAAGGAATGCCATATATGAATTTAAACCTAAAGGCACAATCTGTGGTTAGTTTACAGTCATCTTCCTGCTCAACTGCCAGTGTTCATGGTTCACATCTGAATGTCATGTCCACTCCATCTGCTGCAACTAAAATGCTGAGCACAGGGACTCGCAGAAGTGGCCAAAAGGATGCTGTACAGCAGTTCTGATAGGGCCTTTAATTACTCTCATCCATAGTGTCTGTAGGATCTGTTCCACTGGTGCTAAAACAATGCGGTCTCTGGACAGAGCAGTCAGTACAGTTAAGATTCTCAAGTTAAACTAGGGCTTATTACTCTGTTACCAAGATTCAGGCATTTCTGTGAGTTTTTATTTCAGTTGATGTTGTAATCTCAGACCACACCATGTGCTGAGTCTGTTATTGTAAAGTCAGGGTACAACAAAGCACTTAAAGGGTTCACAACTTCTTCTAGTGGCTTGATCAGCTTGATCAGTTAGTTAGCTAGGGTTCTTTAATGGTGTACATGGACTCTAACAGGAAGACAAAATCCTCAGAGAGACTCACAGAAAACAGTTTCCTTCCATCTTCTCTCACGCGTTTGTTTACATAAGGCTAGACCCCGTTACTATGGGCAACCTGTTGCCAAACAAGAGTCAGACTCACACACTGATGCCAACCTAGGTCTCCTTTTTGAAATTTTCAGTGTATGTTTTTTAAATGTGTATATATATGCATTTCTAAAACCTTAGCAGGCATGACAAAAGCTGCAACGTATGGGCTCGCCTCGGTACAACATCTTCTTGAAGATGGACATACAGTAGTTTGCTATAGGAAGTGTACCCAGGGAGAGGGGCTTTAATGCTGGACTGAGGGCTCAGCTGTGGAATGAGCCGCTCCCGGTCACATTTGAACATCCGTCTTCATGTAAACAGGTAGAGGGAAACACACATGAAGTTCATATGAAAGATCCTGGTATCTGTGAGGTGTCAGACGTACTGTGGGAAGATTGGACTTCAGAGCAAATTGAAAAATTGGCACATCCTGTGCTTAATCTCCTCTGTTAGCCCATTCATGCTTCCTGTTTTCTAATAATCCAGAATTACAAGAGGGACAGCATCTGAGGCTTTTTCTCCACAGCTTGGAATATATGCTGTGTAGATTGGTTGGTTGAGTATGACAGATTTGCCAAAGGATTAGCACAACAGCCCCTGGTTCAGATTGTAAGGGATAAGAGTGAAGTGGTTGTTCTCATAGTAACACCAAGGACTCATTGCAGTTCATTTCTTCTTTCTTCACATTAAATTACAGGAATTTTCTCACTGCACTTGACTCTGTAAGCACTTGGTGTATTTACAACAGTCTTACAAGAGAAGAAAATACATTTTCAATGTTGATTCAGTTTTTATTTAATTTACTGTGTTCCTGAACACACTGATAGACCTAACACTCACTGCTGTATGTCAGGAAGATCTCCGCAGTAGCAATGGCTCTCCCCGTTAGTCTTTGTTCATCCATTCTGCAGCTTTTCCGTTCTTAAACATATTGAAGTGCCTCTGATCTTGTTTTCACACATGGACCATTCCTGTTATTATGTTTCAGAGCTTGTGGCTTTCCAGTGTTTGCTGGTGAAATGCAGCTGACAGTTGGAATTAGATCAATTGGCGCCATCTTTTGGCTTGAGAGTGCATTTTGTGTTACACCTGACGTCACAAGCTGGTAAAATCAGTTCTCCAAAGTGTTGATGTGACATTTGCTATATAGGCACAGAGGTCAAGTCCAACAGGTGTACGTCATTGTGGATGTCATGTTGTCAGAGAAGTTTGACCCATGACCTGTACAGAGAAAATCCTGCTCCCTTTTTTCCGAAACCTTTCCTTTTCCCTCCAACTGAAGCAGAGAGAAGCTGATGTGTGGTTGAAAAGATGATGTGAGTGCAGAGAGGACCGTTACGTTCCCATGTCCCACACACACAAGAGATTAACTGGTAAACCAAATAGATTCAAACTTTCAGACACTTTTGAAAGATCAGAGAAGTCCCATAAATCCTGAGGGGGAAATGACATATGATTGCCTATTCTTTAACCAGCATCTCATGTATATTTGAGCTATTCTATTTCCTAACCTCTGCTCCTTTCCAGTTAATCAGAGTTAGTATATCAGACTTTGGCAGACCCTTTAAACTCTTAATCCAGAGCTTTAACCCGTATTGTAGTGCAGACTATTTACTGAGGGGTATTGCAACATTGTCAGTATTATTACATGTTTATGTTGTTACATGTTTGGATGTTTATTTGGCCATTGACTGGCTGATTTTGGAGTGTACAGATGGAAATCAGAGGAATGAAATTAGTAGCTTGTTCAATGCACTTTTATTATGGGACATTTCCATTAGCAGCACCATTTTGAGGGCTTCTATCCCTCCAGACATGAGAATGGTGCAACAAAAGAGTGGTCTCAAAAATGAAAAAAAAAAAAAAAATGAACAAAGAAAACATGGTGTGAAGAAGAAAGAGAGAAAAAGGCCAAGTGTGGTTGGGGACTCTGGCTGGGCCGCTGGAAACACAATATCAGTCAGTGTGTTGGATGGCAGGGATTTGTGGGGACACTCGTACGGAACAGGAGTGTACTGAGTCTTAAATCCTCACCTGTCTGTGTCACCTTGGTGTGTAAAGGTTCTGACACCACCACATTTCTGTCAAATCACGCACTTGGTGTCGACCCGCATGCCTAAGGAAGGGTGCACAAAGTGTGACGTGTTGACTTTAACCTTTAATAGAAAATTGCTTGCAATATAGAACACACCTGTTACACAACAGTTTGTACTGCCTGAGAAAAGTTGCAGTTTTAGAGCTTGTATAATTGAGAGGGGTCAGTATTTTTATGGTTGGAAAAAAAAGTATCCTCCACCGAAAGATGTACAGTTGGAAAAAAAGAAGCATTTTGTACACCATTCTTGATGTTTGAGAGAAGTTAAAAAAGATCAAAACATTGAGGAATGTTCCATTTTCCTGTAAATTGTACCTCTATTTATTTGCCTTATTTAGTTTGCTATATTTTGTATGTACACACAGCATTACAACAAAATGTTATATTAAAAATATGAATATGAATAATTAAACTGTGGTCCGTGTATGATGGATAGTTTGAGACTTGTATAAGAATGAAAATCCTTTTTTTCCCATTTCTATAATTTTATTTTTGTTTTGTATTTTTTTCTCACCCTGTGTCTTTTGTAGGGTTACAATAAACTTTTGTCCCTTCCAGCTGATTGTTTATTGTCTTCTCACTATTAGGTGGAACACTATTAGTGAATTCATTGATTAATAGCAAATATTGATTCATAGAAATAATGATTTAGCAAGAAAATGTTGCTTATATATAAATATATATTATATGTATATGTTATATTATTATGATATTTTATAGACGCTAAACTAAATAGCTTCATTAAAAAAATTTCAATAGCAAAAAATATTCATTATCAATAGCAGAAGGAACTCCAGAGTTCGTGAATACTGTCGACTTTAGTATAAATGTTATTAATAACAACAGTTATTACCGTGCTGATAAGATTAATTATGATAACATAATAATTATATCGGTTATTTCTTTAGAATGACATGTGGTGTAGTTCTCACTGTGACCACTGGGGGGCAGTGAACACTCATCACAATCATGTACAGGTGTCAACACAACAACATCAGTGCTGGTGAACAACTTTTAGAATCAAACAGAACAGCAGTGGAGTTTCTAATATTCTGTCATTCACTGTGTAGATAAACATTAATGGTACAGAGGCTCATACTGTTTGATTACTACATGTTTATTATGAATACACAAACTATACAACATCATCATAAATCATAAAACACACAATGTGTTTCACAACAAAACAGCCAATATCAGCTCATTCTAATGCAGAGTTTTATCTGAAGACTCAAAGGTTTTAATTTTAACATGATGATTTAGAGAGCAAGATCTTCACAAAGTACTGAGATATGCAGCAACAACTAAAAATCAAAATGTATCACAAAGGTCACTCAAAGCATGTTTTAAGCTGCTTTTAATATATAAGAAATTACCCACTGCTCAACACTAAATCAGCTTTTTGCTGTTGTGAGACTGTTAAAATTTAACAGTGATCTCTCTACATAAATCTACATAAACAATCAAAACCATCAGCAAGAAGATTGGTTATTTCATTATAGTTATTCCTAATGCCTGCCACCTGATCAGCCTTGAAATCAATGAAACAATGAAAAGTGTTTATATAGAGGTCATATCAAATATATATGGCAAAATATATCATGCATGTTTCCTAAAAAGTAAAGCTACAATACAGAACTATTATTTGTCTGCAGTATTTATTAAAATGACAACGTACTCTACTCACAAACATAATTCAAAAGCTCTTTTGTACACTGCAGTTTTAAATGTGCATTAAATGTCATTGCCATTCACTTTACAATGTCACACTGAGGTGTTTAAACCCAGAGCCTTTGTGAACACCCTGTCTGCATCCTCAGCAAGCATGTTGAGGAAAGTACTGAGAGCTCTGTAGGTTGTGATAAAAGAGAGGCCCATTGCTGCTGGGATTCCAATTATTGGAATGTATCTGGACTCTTCCTCTGCTGCCGTTGATGCAGCTGTGCTTACACATTGAGAAAGCAGCTTCAGGATAAGAAATGGGGTTATTTTTGTGACAGCCAGTGGTAAATGGATGGCAGCTGTCAGATCCTTCAATGGCACACCTGTGCTACCAGCTAGACTCTTCAGTGACGAGCTATAAAGACCAAACCCAACTACGTATTTTGTGACAACTCCAACCAGCAAAGCTACATCAACAGCAACAGAAAGCCCAGTAACTGGTACAGCTGCTACAGCTGCTGATAGAGTAGCAAGGTATTTTATTTCGGCCTGGAAAGCCTCTTTCTTCTTGTTGATGATCTCCAGGTTAATGTCGTGCATGGCCAACAGCAGAGCATTCCTCTTATGTGCAGGAAGTTCTCTCTCTAGGGTCTTGTGTAACAGGGGAAAGTCATGCAGTTGGAGCTTAAAGCTGGACACCAGGAAGACTTTAGGAGACTCAACACCCTGTTGCTGAAGACCTGCGGCACAAAAGGAATAAATGGTACGAAGATTACTTTTTTTGAAACTGGTGAAATAATTTAAATATTGAAATCACCTGAATACCCAATCTGTTCTCATCTCAGGTTTGGCTTCATCACGTCCCCTCAGCATTTCATACATATGCACAGGGTACCCTTTAGTGTACGTACGAGCTGCAGAAAGCCTATTGAGCACATAGTTAGAATTGTGAACTCTGTGTCACAGTTTGGTTTAGGCAATGGAACTACTTGAATGACTTTTAGGGAACAAAACTACTTTGTTAGGTGTGACAATTTACATAACCTATGTAACATAAAGTCAGTCCAGAATTAGTTTGAGCCATCCATCCCCCCCACCACCTGCAAATGTGGACTCTTTATACTCCGTCACCTGACGTGGACGAGTTTACATTGAAACCATGGAATAACTTTGCTGCTTTTGTTGTGAAAGTCAGAGGTGCATGTTATCTTATTGTTGCAAAGACCGTTGGATTGAACTGTGACAAGGAAGCTTGCAAGTTTAGTTTAATAATGAAAATCCAGTTATAAATTCTACAATTATTAAAAATTCCATAAAAACGTACCTTGAATGCAGTTTTCCCTGATTTGTGCGATCATCTTTTTCTCATCAAACTCCCTCTGACTTCTTTCCTCAGCTCGTAAATCGTTGTCAATCTTTGAGCGAACAAAGTAGAACTTTTTCCCCATCTTCTGAATCTCCTGAGCGAGTTTCACATCATTCTCTCTGAAGCGAGTGTCTGAGATGATGATGAAGAAGTCGAACTTCTCAAATCCAACAAGCTCCAGGTACTTGTCAGCTGGAAACTTGGTGGTACCAACACCAGGAAGATCCCACAGAGTAACATTGGGGTAGTTTGGATGGGGGTATGATATGACCTCTAGGGTGTTTTCATCAGTACGGGCGCATTTCTCATCACTGTTGTCTATGCCTCTAAAGGCATTGACAAAGGTGGATTTACCAGAGCCTGTCTCTCCTGTGATGGCAATATTCAGTGGGGTGTTATTCTGCTGATCCAAATACTCCTGGATCTTTGCAGCAGCTAAAGCTTGATTATTGTTTTGTAGAGCTTCTTTAATTCCTTCAGTGAATTCAGAATGCAGTGGATTGTCCATGGTGATCCTTGAAAACTGGAGGAAATAAGAAGTTAAAAAGTCACCATTGTCTTTTGGAGAATAATAGAAAATGTAATCCTACAGTGATGTAACACCTTGTACATAAACCTAACCCTAACCCTATGACAGAATGCAAATGCACTATGTGGTAATACAGTGACACATCCAATGACATCCAGTGACACGTTCTTCAGTGAATTTACAATCAAATGGATTATTCATTGTGATCCCTGAAAACTGGAGTAAAACGAAGAAGGTCAACTAGATCTAATATAATACACATACATAACAATGCTCAATGCCAGGACACATTACAACCTAGCATGGAAAATAAAAACTTGAGATCACATTTTTGAGAATGTATATACCTTGATTATTATAGAATTGGACTTCTAGTAGTAAATAAATTAGATTTGTTACAATCCCACAAAGAAACTTTTTATTTGAGCCATCAAAAATGTATTCTCTGTAAATGTAATAATCTCTCTTAGTCAGATTCATTCATTTGCTCTCTCTCACATTGCCTCCCTTGTATACTCACTGTGTTTGCAAAATGTTTTTTTCTGTACTTACAATGTGCCATTCAATTTCTAAGGTACAGACAAAAGCTGTTGGAAACAGTCGTGGTAAACGCAGGAGAGAAAAGTGACCTCAGCTCTCTCTTTCATGTTCAGAGTGGGCTGTTTATTATACAGTAAATATCAGAAGTTACTTGCACAGAACCTTTCCTGAGCTTGAAACAGATGAGACCGGAGCAGAGAATGTATGATTCCCACCTGTGACTTACAATAAGTGTTGATTCAGCTACTGCACATTCTGTGTCTATTCAGCTCATTATCAAAGCGATAAAGAAGTAAGTCCAGTTTATCCAGTTTGTACTTTCATCAACTGGCCAATGACAATGCCCTGCAGTGAGTAACAGAGGATCTAGTATGACATCTCATGAGATCGAGGCAGCCGCTCTGTTTAGAGCCAGCCACTGCAGTTGAAAAGCTAATTTGGCTCTTAGTTTTTTCACTACAAACACCAAGTTTTGTAGAAAATAAAAATTTTCCATGTGATTGTGATATTTAACACTACATTGTGTGTTGTGTGTTGTTTGTCTCATGGTGTGCAATAAATCTGTTAATAAATATATCTTGTGTGGTTGATAATGATAAGAATAACGTTTATTCAATCCGAATGTGGTCTAAAAACTACAGGTAGCCTACGGATTGATATAACAGGATGTAAATAGCTCTGTGACTTCCTGTATAGTTTTTTAATGGTCCAGGTTTACTGCAGCTTTTTGTCACCGCCTCCTGCTACTGTCGACTGATCTCATCCACTTTTCAAGCTATCTCCAGCTCAGACAGGCAGCCTGCTGGGGGTTTAGTCCAATCAGATCACAGCTCATTTCTATACAGCCTCTTAGAGCCAGGACTGCTATTTCACCTAGCGTCAGGTTAGTCCCACCTACATTACTTAACCCTTTACTGGTGGTATTTAAGATCTTTTCAACTAGAATTTATCATTGTTATTGGATGAAACATATGAGATATCTCCCACTATTAATTTACTACTTTGGGGGTGTAGTTGACTACTATCCAGCAGTTGTGAATGCCTTCCTTTAAAACATCAGACTGTGATGGGGAACAAAGAATTTTGTACACAATTCTTGATGTTTGAGAGAAGATAAAAAAGATCAAAACATTGAGGAATGTTCCATTTTCCTGTAAATTGTACCTCTATTTATTTGCCTTACTTAGTTTGCTATATTTTGTATGTACACACAGCATTACAACAAAATGTTATATTAAAAATATGAATAATTAAACTGTCGTCTGTGTATGATGGATTGTTTGAGACTTGTATAAGAATGGAAATCCTTTTTTCCCCGTTTCTATAATTTTATTTTTGTTTT